GGCTCAGCCGGTGGCCCGGCCGGCATGGGGGGCGGCTTGCTGTCCTTGGGGGCTGGCGGCGGGGCCAGCTCCACGAAGGCCGGGGGGACCCCGTCCCCCACAAAGCCCGGCGTGTCCGGCCCAGACCCCTCCGGCGGGAAGCAGGGCACAAGGTACGGGGACACTGGCTGGTAGTGGGGGTACAGGGGTGGCCCCAGGGCCTTGAGGTGGCGCTGAGGCTCCAGGAGGAAGCTGCCTGCAGGGCTGGGGGTCCCCGCCCTCATGCTGCCTGCTGCCAGCCTGTATAGGGTCGACGGGCCGAAATCAGGGGTGGCCCACTCGATGCGGTAGATGCGGGGGTCAAAGAAGCACCCGCAGGGCGCCATCTGGAAGCCTGCAGGGCGAGAGCAGCCAGGAAGGCAGTGCCAGCAGGGCCTGGTGGGGGACAAGGACTTGGGCCTTACTCTGGGCTGCAGCTGGGGGCAGCAGTCCCAGACACCGTCTTCGGGGCCTGTCTGGGAATGGGGACCCAGATCTTGTCTTTGAGGGGACAGGGGACACGGGCCTTGTCTTTGGGGTCGGCTCAGGGGAGGCGATATGAGCCCTGCTCTGGGAGTCTTGTCTAAAGCGTGAGGTCACAGGCCCTGCTTTTGGGGTTCCCTCCTGGGACGGGGTTGAGGGCCTGCTCAAGGTCCAGGGCTGGGGGAGCCGGTACCTGCCGGAGGGGCCGCAAGCACCTCCTTCTCTGGGTTTAGAGAGCGGTACAGGTTCAAGGAACCTGCGGACAAAGGGGCCGGTGGGTGGGCCCTGCGGCGGGTGGGCAGGAGCCCGGCCCCGACCCGGCAGCTGCCCGCCCCGCCGACTCATACCCACAGCGGGAAGAGGCTCGGGACCGGTGGGCGTGGCCTGGCTCTCAGCATCCTCCAGGCCCTGGGGGCTGAAGCCTTCCTGGGGAGCCCCGGGCACGTAGAAGGGTGCATGGTGCTGCATGGGGAGGCGGCGGCCCGGCAGGCCTGGAGGGCGGCAGAGCACGGGCGGCGCACCCCAGAACAGGCCGAGTCCTGCCAGGTTCTGTTTGCCCTGTTACTCGGGTGACGGGTGGCTCAGAACCATGGATCGAGGTTCCAGACACGGGGGGAGGGCTAGGGGCAAACCGGGAGCCCGCGGCCATCAGAGACAGGCGTCACCAAGGGTAGGTGGAGCTTGGGCCAGGGTCCTGGCCTTCTGCCTCTTCCGGAGGCACCTACCTAGCAGTTTTGCGGCTGCCTCCTCCGGGAAGGCGGCCCTGATCCACACCTAGGCAGGCTGCAGCCCGCTCCCTGTTGCCCTCTTAGCAGTCCAAGCCTCTCCGGGCACCAGCAGCACCCAGGAGCTGGACCCACAGGCATAGGCATGGGCGGAGGGTGTGAGGAATGAATGAGCAAGGAGGGAAGGAGGGAGCTGCTGGGACAAGAACAAGCCAAGGATAGCCCCAGGGAAGGACGGGAAAGGACAGCCTCAGGGTCGCAGAAAGGCCTGCATTTTAAAAGAAAATAGGCCAAACGGGATGGTCGTGCCTATAATCCCAGCACTGTAGGAGGCTGAGATGGGAGGATCACTTGAGGCCAGGGGTTCGGGAGCAGCCTGGGCAGCATAGCGAGACCTCATCCCTGCAAAAACTCAAAACGCTAGCCAGACGTGGTAGCATGCACCTACAGTCCCAGCTACTTGAGAGGCTGAGACAGAAGAAATCACTGGAGCCCAGGAGTTCGAGGCTGCAATGAAGTATGACACGCCACTGTACTCCAGCCTGGGTGAGACCCTGTGTCTAAAAACATCAATAGCCAAGCAAGTAAATAAAAGAATAGAATTTATTGTTCTCCCCAGGCTCTCCCCTGCGGCTACTTGTATGCGTTGGCCTTGTGCTTCGGCAGGAAGACGAAACTGGGGGGCACCGGCCCGAGCAGCATCTCGCTGTGGGAGGGTGGCGGGAACAGGGTCAGGCCCGGAGCCTGGGCCGCCCCCCACCCCCA